CCTGGAACTGATACGAACGCGAAGCACGGCACATTGGCGGTCCCTCCCTGGTCAATCACATTTTCAGTTCCCTGCTAGCTAGCGTATTTGCAAGTTCGGAGGAATTGTGTCTCACAATTTTTCTTGCTGCCGAAAATGGCAAGTGCGGGAGTGAAGCGAAAGAGGGTGGTGTTGACTATAGCTCAGAAGATTCGAATTGTTGAACGAGTTGAACATGGGGAAGCAATTTCGAAATTGGCTGAAGAATTTAACGTCGGTGTACAAACAGTGCGTGACATGATCCATCGAAAGGACGAACTGTATAAGTTTGTTACATCATCTGACACCTTCAACGGTACATCACAGCGTAAATCAACAAAAGGCTCTAAATTTGATGAACTGGACACCGCATTGTTCAATTGGTTCCAACAAAAACGTGCAGAAGGACATCCAGTGTCAGGGCCATTGCTACTGGAGAAATCCGCGTGGTTTCACAAACAAATGAACATCCGTGAACCATTTTCAGCATCACAAGGATGGTTGCAGCGGTTCAAATCGCGGCACGGGATTCGACAATTAGACATTCAAGGAGAGAAACTCAGTGGCGATAAAGACGCCGCTGCTTTGTATATGACAGAATTCAATCGGCTTGTTACGACTCACAATCTGTCGCCCGAACAGATTTATAATGCCGACGAAACCGGCTTGCTTGGGAAAGCTTTACCATCCAAAACTCTCGTTTCACAAAACGAAAAATCTGCACCGGGACATAAATCAAGCAAAGAGCGGATAACTGTGCTAGCATGTGCGAACGCAAGTGGATCTCATAAGCTGAAGCTGGTCTGCATTGGCAAATCCAAAAAGCCTAGATCGTTTAAGGGAACCGAAATGCGTTATTTCCCGGTTGATTATTTCAACCAAAAGAAAGCATGGATGAATCAAGAGATTTTCAAAGACTGGTTCTTTAACCACTTTGTTCCTTCTGTCCGTGAACACTTGAAGTCCAAGAATTTGCCCCAGAAAGCAATGTTACTGTTGGACAATGCCCCTTCCCATCCCAACGAAAACGTCCTGAAGACAAGTGATGGGCAGATTTTCGTGACCTATCTTTCTCCGAATGTAACATCTCTTCTGCAGCCAATGGACCAGGGTGTTTTGGAGTCATTGAAGCGGCGTTACAGGAAAGCATTGCTTCGTTCAGTTCTGGAAGAAGATGTGGATCTAAGGGAATTTTATAAAAAGTGGACACTCAAAGACGCGATTTTCAATTGCTCCGACAGTTGGAATGATATTCCAAGTCTGACATTTCAACGGTCTTGGAGAAAGTTGTATCAAGACGTGATGACAAACGACGACTCGACTGCACCAGAGGAGGCTATAACTGCCGACGCAATCTTCCAGCATGTTCAAGACATTCACGGTTTCGAAGATGTCGATCGAGACGACATTGACCAATGGCTTTCGTTAGATACAGATCAGCCTGGATACGAAGTGAAAGACGACGTCACCATCGCCGCAGAAGCATCGTCATCGAAAGTCGTGATGGAGGAAAGCAGCGACTCCGACTCCGACGATGGTCCTTCGGCAGAAAAGATGCCAGATAAAAGTGTTTCACTGGCAGAAGCTCTCACGTGCGCAGAAACATTATTGGAGTTTCTAGAACGAGAAAGTGACTCGAATTTCAGTGATATTTTAATGCTACGCAAGATACGCACGTCGATAAAGTTGAAGCGGTGTAGGAATGTGAAACAGCGTCTTCTGACCGATTTTTTCAACAAAACAGACTATTTAAGCAATACCAGCAAAGGTAGGATTAGTATTTTATGAATAAATCGCATTTTAGTTAATATACCAGAGCTTTACATCGTTTTTTTTCGAATTCTGGATTATCCGTGGTTTTCGATTATCCGGCGAAGGTCTCCCGGTCATTAGCCCGGATAATCGAGGTTTTACTGTAGTTGCAACTCCAAACAACCAATTTAGAGATTTACCTCCCAAATCAATGACGCCGCTACTCCGTCTAAGAGTCCATTCCTGAGTTTCCCATGGCTTCTGTCGAAGAACATAATCGCAAATTTCCTTAAAGGCGATAAAATTCTCTAAAAGGTTCTTGACTTGAATTGCGCCGCTTCCTCGTGATAATGATGTAGTATTGGGTTAGGAAATTGGATATGGGATGACCGTGGATTACTACCAATCCATACACTTTTCCGTTTCATCTATGACGGTCTGGGTGGCTAGTTGGTAAGCTCTGAAAGAAAGATAAAGAATGTCTCCTTTTCTCAAGAAGAGAATTTTCTCCCATCTCTGTATCTCATGCATGTTTTCCTCATCACATAAGGCACTTGATGTGGGCATAAGGAATGGGTTGGCCACACCACACACAAATAGGCGTATGTTTCGTCTGTAATGAAATACTATTGAATGTAGGGGGGCTAGAATACTTCTGTAACCTTAAATTGGTGTGACAAGCAAGGGATTATTGTTGCCATCGTAAAGTGGTAGTAACGGGCATAAAATGTCCATCGCAACAAATTGAAAGGACGTTTGGCCCCGCGAAAAAGCTGAGGAGAAATTGGCTTCAAGGCCTGGTGCAGTTTTCTTTTCTTGGCATGATTTACAGTGTCATTACTCGAAGGAAATCCGGACTCATTTTAGGCCAGAGAAACTGAGTTTTAATCATTCCTACTGTCTTAAGTATTCCCAAGAGCCCTGCCAAAGGTGGTTCATGATTCAAACGGATAATGGAATCAATTATGCTTTTGGGGATTACTAGTTGCTCAAAAACTCGTCCGCTTGGCAAGATGCCTCTTTTAAAAAGGACCTCATTTAACAAAAAATCCTCATATTTCATTTACAGTTCTCATCTGTTCTATTAACGGTCCCCATTTTGAGTCACATCTTTGCTCAGCCCGAATACGTTGTCAGTCATAAGGTTAGAACTCGATTCCATTTTCCTCATTTGTCTCAATTGCATTGATGCAACTTGTCTCGTCCCTGTCCGGTTGTACCGTACCCGATAATAAAAAAAAGGGAAAGGCGTCCACATTGAAATGCTTTCGCCCAGGACAGTGTAGGACTTCGTATTAATAATCCTGAAGGTGACCGACCATCTGGCTAATTGAGAACTCTAATCTCTTAAGATAATGAGTCATCTTAGTGGAGCATGGCATACCTTCCTCCCATCTCCCAAGTTTTTAGGGATTGGACCACGGTATTGAGTTCTTTTTTCAATGGTAAAGAACTTCCGCTCGGCATCATAGAAGTGGCAACTCTGGTAAGCTATGTGCAACTTTTGATCGTTGTGATTTTCATGAAGAGCGCAACCTAACGCAACCGACGCCTCAACTGCAATACTGAAATCCGGGAAGCGAGATTTTTTTTCGTAGGTAGGTTGCGCCGCAGCGCTGCGCTGATTGGCTTGGCGGCCTCGCAGTCGCCGAACCAATCATCGCTTATCGCATCTCCCTTCCTCTCGCTTCGCCTCTCCGGCTCGCTCGCTCGCTCGCTCGGCCCTTCTCAGAAAAACCCTTTCCCCCAATTCCAGACTGCACCGCAGCGAATCGCGGCTCTGCCATTCCATGCATTTCATGGCGCCGGCTCGGCGCTCAAGGAATCACACCGCCTTTCGCAGGAATCAGGCGGTCTCTAAACCTAATTCCCTTCGCTTTCGCCCTCTTGGCCTTACACTTACTCCTCGTCGCCAGATGAGCAGCATTCATCCTTCGCGCATCGGCATCGCTCGAGTTGCGAACGAGAATGATAGTCGCTGTGCAATATCGGCGAGACAGAGTTGAAAATTAACTTGAGAAGCCTTCCAAAATGACTTTTCCCTTGTAAGCAAAAAAGATGCGATTTCCGGCAAGAGAAAACTTCGTCCCTTCCCATGGCTCAATTTTCACTCGCAGTCACATATCAAGGCTAAAAACGTTGCTGACACAAGGTAGCAGCCAAGTTAGTTTTCTTCGCTCTGCACATTTAACTTATAGGCCTAACGTATACTCAATCGCCGAGCTGAGCCCAATATGGCAGCCGCATGCCTGTCCTCGCAGCAGAGCTCAGCTCACCTCTCGCCGCCGCTCCCCTCGTCGCCCTGTTTCACACCAGGAGATCCTCCCGAAGGAGTTCACTTTGACCACCGCGCCTTTGCAGTGAGCTATTCTCATTTTCCCTCGTCGCGTTTTCGCTGATCGCGCTACGCCTCTCCCCGTATGGACTTCGCGGCTCGGCCGTGTCGCTGGCCTTAGAGCGCGATTTTGTCGCCGTCCAACTCGTTCGCTTGCGGGCGCGTTGAGGCAGGCCAAATAGGGCGTGTTGGGAGGTGAAGACGGGGGTGGGGGTGTCGCTATGCGTGATCCCGAGCAGGCTAGCCAAAGACTTCGACGCATGATCAATAGGCGCGGTAGTTCCTATAGTCTTACTTCAATCCCTTCCAGCAGCCAAGTTCAACTTCTTCGTATACCTCTCTAAGAGTAGCAACATGAGCCAAATTTGGCTTGCTCTTTTCTCTCGCGTCGCAGAATCGCGTCAAAAGATTAGTAGCTCCATCTCTTGCGGTTGTGGCGATCGCAGAATCTCGTTTTGCAAGATATGAATTTCATCCATTCCCCCCCCCCCCCACTCTTCCCGGAGTAGCCATTCCTGGTATGCTTTAGAAGGGAGTCCAAACATGAGAAAGATAATGACTTCTAGATGCCGAAGAGGGTTCTTTTTGTTGCTTGCGTTGTTCCATTTAGCCAGAAAAAAATGTAATTTGCTGTTATTAATTTAGGCATAGAACTATCCTAACTAGAACATAGAACTATCTCCTATCCTTCCCCAGTGTTGCCGAATATCACGTCGTAAAATATCAATTCCTGCCTCTTCGTCTATAGTAAAATTGTACAAATCATCTCTTTTAATTTTGTATACATTGATGCGCTGGATTCATGGGATGATAAGCTGAGATTGAAACGGTGTTTTGCAGTGGGTCGATCGACTTGGTGGAGTAATGGGATATTTCATCCGGGCCCAAAATGATGATGGCGGTCAGGTTTTATTTACATGCTTCTCTCGGCATCTTCTCGTGACAAGTCGAGACGGTTTGAGGAACTCTGGATTGGCCTAATGTTCCCCAACCCCACTTAAGTGTTCATAAACTTCGGAAACGGCGGTCTAAAAGTCGGTCTAGCGTTTCAGTTTTTGTAAAATGGGCCATCAGAGACTGAATGAGCCTGCAGTTGGTCTTATGGTACCTGTCATCAACGAGGTGTCTCGAAGACCAGGGATTAATCCTTATTGCCCTGATTGGCCCTCAGGCCCAGGATTGAGTTTCGTTTGAAGTAAAAAAGGTAGGCCTAGACCTGACCCAAAGACGGTCCGTCGGTTGAGAATAGGCCTAGCGCTAGTGAGTTCCATGGAGAAGTTGAGCCTTAGGAAAGCGAGATTTTTTTTCGTAGGTAAAAATCACTGGTCTCCCAAACAACTAAGTACTCTTCTCATACTTGCACAAGCTAAAGTATCCCTTCCTTGAAGAGTGACACAACATTTTTTTTCTTTACCCACCTGTTCACATGGGCTTTACAATGTCTTTGCCATTGCACTGCTGAACTTGATACCATGCAACCCATCTTTCATTGTATCAGCAAGAGAAAATCATAGGAGGCAGGAATCTAAGCTCTAAGAGAAAATGCTACAATGCTGGAACTGTTGCAGCATCTCCCACCCTTGATCTCAATGACAAAATTCCAAGTATTTCATGTAGCATAGTGGTTGCTCTGCTGAAAAATGACATTTTTGTAAAGAACTGTTCAGGATAATTGTGTATCCCATGTATTTTCATCGTTTGAAAATGGAGTCTTCATGATTGTATACCTCCTGAAGGGTGAACCTGTTAATGCTAAACATTACCTTGAGACATTGAAGTGGAAAGAGTATAAAAAATGCAAATGTCATCATCTTCAGACAAATGCAGACAAGTTGAAGAAACATCTCCCAGTCAAGTCTGGCTTGCTATAGCATTCAATTATCTTGATATAATGATTTAGGATTACTGTGAGCCAGATGGAAATATTTCTAACATAGAACCACATTCTTTGCAGGATGTTTTCCCCCCTGACTACAGCTACCATTGCTGTGAGTGGAGTAATGTGAGCTCACACAATGGTGCGTTTGTGTGCAAAATTCGTCTACCCATTGGCAATGTCAATGACTGCAAGGCATGGAAGAGTGTTCTGGAAGAGCATTCCCAAGAAACCTGGCGTATTTCCAAAACTTATCCACATTGTGGCCCCAAGCTAATGTGGAAGGTAGGTTGTTCACACCAGCATCAATTGTGTTTTTTATGCTCGCACCTTCACGATTGGACATCACCAGTTAGTTATAATTTTCAGCTTCCTCATGACAGATGTTGATGTAACCCTTTTGTTGTGTATTTTCCTGTACCCTTACAATACAATACATTTTATATTCATCTTCAGCACAATTTTTTTGCCAGCTAGGTGTTTCTAACTGAGTGAATTTCATGTCAAATGTGAGTATTAATAGAGTGGTACATGCCCTCCTTACAGACTGACTACAGGTGTCTTCATAACACCCGGGCGAATGTTACTAAAGGCGGCCGAGAAAAGTGTCATGAAAAAAACACAAAATGTTCAGCCAGGATGTCTATTGCCATAAAAAATCCCAACAAGAAGTCTTGGTGAGTCTGTGCATACTTTTCTGGAACAAATTTAATGTTTGTTTATTCTATACTGGGAACATTGGAAATTATTGAGTCAGAACAATAACTGAGTACCTTTGGCCAGAGACTTTGGCCTCATTCATTGCAGTTTCTTGATTTTATCCAGGGTTCACATTAACTCACTATAGCGAGTTCCTGACTCATATTTTCTTTGAGGGACTCATAGTTGCAAAATATATGAGTCCATGGGACTCATTGATAACCTTCTGAATTTGTTCCCACTAGGTATAAGATAGGTGCCAGGACTCAAGATTTAAAGATGCTAGTGTGAACCCTGTTTTTATATTAAATCTTATGCCTCCTAGAAATTTCATCTTGCACATTTTGTCCTGTGCATTTGTTTGACACCTTATAAGTTTTCATATTTTTGAAAAATTGTTCAATTTTTGCAAAATTCCTATTTTCCATGCAGAATACCTTCTCTTGGGGGTTGAAAAAATAAATGTGAAATGTGAATTTTTTCTTCTAAGACTTTCATATAGAGTGTGCAACAAAAGTCCCCATGTAGCAATTTTAAGCCAAAATAAATCTATTGGACCTACACTCAAGGGCATTTGGACATCCACTGGTTATCTTCCTTTAGCATCCAGTAGCTTACTAATTTCCCATTGGATGACTATTGAAGGATGTAGCAATGATAATCCCCCAGGTAGTGGTGAAGCAACATATGCATGTACATGAATATTCATGGGATGGGAAAGTGGCATCTTTCATAGATTACCAATTTCACTGTTTGGAAGTGGCTGGTTCACCCTCCTCCATTCCTAGGAGAAATTGGGAGGAGTATGTTAGAATGGAAAGTGGAGTATTCCTGAGAGGAAATTCCAGGCTCTCCATCATTTTTTCCCTAAGAAAATGTCATTTTCCCTGTTGTTATGAATGACATGGTACAAAAAAAAAGGAATCATCTTGACTCCCTTTGCATGGTGAACCCCAATCTCATATCACTCCCCTTGCATATTGAAACAATTGCTCGGAATCTTAAGCTAGGTTGCATCTCTCCACAAAAGTATTCATTTGAACAGTTTCCTTCTTTTGCTTGTTCTTGGAAAATTATAAAATAGATGGTGAAAGCTTATGCTGAGCCTTTCATTACCATTCAGGAAATTGGGAACATTAGGCAATGGGTTCAACATGGTTTTTATATTGTGGGAACATTATATTTATTGAACAGAGTGCTGGGTGTCAGGTCATATGGAAGGCCTCAATGTGCATGCCTGTTCATCCAAGGACATCCAATGTTAGACTGTGAGAAGCTGCCTTTGGAAGTGGAATGACTGTTTCTGGACTTTTATTCACCTCTGGACAACTGAATTGTCTATGAATGAGTTTCTGTTACACATTGCTACTTGGATCATAGGGAATTAACATGGGGATCCTTTCTCAACTCACTAGCCAATCTGAGTTGATTCTGGAACTCCATAGTATTACCTTCACCTCAATATCTAGTCCAAGTGATCCAAGGTGATCCAATATAACCCAATTTGGTCACTGTTTTAATTTTAGCACACTTTTATCATATTAGAAAAATTGGGCCCAATTTGGGTTAATTGGATAATGGAACACCATGGGCCACTTGGACCAGATTTTGAGATTAAGGGAACTATGAAGTTCCAGAAGTAACTCAGATTGGGGTTGTGAGTTCCAACAATCTTGCCTGGAAAGGATCCCCATTAGGGTAGTCCAAAAAATAACACTTTTTTTCACCTTTGAAAATTTTATTGTCATGCCCCCCATCTTTGTACCCTTCCAAATAGAAACTTCTGGGCAAAAAATCAGCTCAATCAGAACATATTTTGAGGTGGCTCAAAGGACATTTAATTTTCACCATTACAGCCCTGGGAGCGTAGCCTGGCAACCAGATTCTTCTCATAGCTTCTCATTCTTCATTAGCTTCTCATGGGGAAGGGGGGGGGTTCACAGTTGCCACTTGTTTTTGCAGTCTGGTGTCTCCATGCTTCTGACCCAATGTTATATTTTGCTGGTTTTGAAATTTTTTTAATGCTGTTAAATGCCTTTGAGACTATATTGTTTCTATTCATATTTTGTGATGATTTGGTCGTAATCAGAGATCAACTTCATTTCCCATTCAGCATAATCAATGGCAACCATTCCAACTTGTTTCTAATAGCATTCATGTGCTGTTCAATGTTAATCCATGTAGATGGAGGTACAACTAATAAGCATTGATCAGCATCAAGTAAATAAGAACTTTATGAGTGGGGGCATGAAAGCTCTAATTTGTCATGTTATTGGATCATCAACAAGATCTTTCTTTTTTCTGCTTTCTTACCTGATATTCGACAGGCGGATAGATTTGATAGAGCCAGAAGAAAAGGATAGGTTTTCTAAATATATGATAGCATATAATTTTTTTCCTACATTTGTCATATCATTTGAGCATATTGAGAATATGCACAATTTTAACAATGGTTTGCTCAGATGCCTTAAATGATGCTTCACAGCATTCATGACAACCTCTGCAACCTTTTTGTTCTCTGATTTGCACCTTTCAAGCCTTCAGCATTGTTAGTTAGTACTAATGCAGCATCAAAGTATGAGAACCTGCCTTTCATGTAAATTTTTTGCATATTTTAAATTTTTTGTTGTATGACATTTTGATCTTGAAATTTTTTATTTGCATGTTCTTCCCCAAAACCTTAAAACCTTTGGTTTCTCTTGCACTTTCATGGATTTCTTTTGATTCTGGGACGTAGAAAATAGGTGCAGTATTTGTAACTTTGATGGCAATTTATCATCAGATACCTCTCTATAGGCCTTCCAAGAAACCATGTTCAAAATTTACTTCAGGTCTTTTTTCATTCATTTTAAAATCAAATGAGGAGAAAAAAGGAAAATCTGCATGAAAAAATACTACATGGGCCAAAAATCTATTATTCATTATAGATAACTGGTGAATTTATACAGGGTGTTCGTAAAGTCACGCAAATTTTGAAATGGCTGCCCTGTAATACATAGAAGCCCTAATGAAGCAAGCTATAGGTAGGCAAGCAATATCCTAAGGGAGGTTTATTACCATGCATGACAAGCAGCAATGCATCATTAGCCTTCACTACAACTTATGTTCAAAGAGGTCACCACCACAATCAATTACCAGCTGCAGTTGGTGCACAATGTTTGCCACTCCAGACTCAAGCTCTTCTTGCACTAGCCCGTCGCATGTAGTCATAATTTTCTCAAGACCAGCAGGCGCAAGTTGTCATCAACCATCTTCATGCAAGATGGTGTGCCCCCTCATTTCACGATTGGAGTGCGTGACTATCTGTGTTCCATGTTTTCTGAGGAGAGGGTGATCAGCCGAGGCTGTGCCCATCCATGGCCACTGAGGTCACCAGACCTCAGTCCACTGGATTACTGGTTTTGGGGCTGGTTAAAGGAGAAAGTTTATCACAATAACAAACCACAAACACTGCAGCAACTTCGTGAGAAAATTACGACTACATGCGACGGGCTAGTGCAAGAAGAGCTTGAGTCTGAAGTGGCAAACATTGTGCACCGACTGCAGCTGGTAATTGATTGTGGTGGTGACCTCTTTGAACATAAGTTGTAGTGAAGGCTAGTGATGCATTGCTGCTTGTCATGCATGGTAATAAACCTCCCTTAGGATACTGTTTGCCTACCTATAGCTTGCTTCATCAAGGTTTCTATGTATTACAGGGCAGCCATTTCAAAACTTGTGTGACTTTGCAAACACCCTGTATGTAGTAGGTATCTTACAATGCAATTGCCTAGAAAACTTGAAGCTCTTTGAGCTACCTCTAAATATCAACTGATTCAGTTGAAAATTTTCATGAAATTTCCTTTTGGGATTTGTACAAGAATGGGAGGGTAAGATTTGCAAATTTAAAGAAAAATATTTTTTGGACCACCCTAATCCCCATGTTATTACCCTATGATTTCTGACTTTTGTTACACCATGGATAGTGTAGGAAATGGTTAACTGAGGTTTACCCAGCTTCATTGAGGAATTTGCTCATTCCTTTTCACATTGGATCTATCTGTTCAGTTCTGATGACCATCATGCAGCCAATTTGACCATGGTGGTTTCCATGCACCACACCCACAACCATGGAATCAACACTGCCGATGCATTACGCCATCGAGATGTCTCAGATGGTGTGCGCACCAAGTTTTTGGACCTATACAAGCATGGCCATACTCCAGCATCAGCATTGCAGGTTCACAAGATGGATCTGCAATTAGAACTTGATGAGAATTACTTTCAAGCTGCTGCTGACAGAAGGCAATGCCCTGATAGTCAATGGTGTTATCGGTAAGTAATCTTTGCTAATTGTGAAGGCTTAGTTGTCAATTGAGCATAAATAAAACTGTGCTAGCAAAAAGCATTAGGCAATTGTGTGTGTGTGTGTGTCAGTGACTTTCCTTCTAGGCCTTCCAGATCCATATGATTCAGTGTTTTACTATATTATATTTTTGTTTTTCTTCACTTTTGGTTTTAGACTCTACTATGATGTCTTCAAGAAGGAATATGGCCTGACTAGTGGCATTGATATGATCCAAACTCTGCATGACTGGATTGAACAATTCAATACCTCATGTGGTGACCGTTGTGCTGACATGAAAGTCACTCATGATGGCCAGGTATGCGACATCTTAGGTTCTGATTTATTTGGCTATTATTTTTGCTAAAAGAATGTGAATTTTAACTCCTCCACATAATGAAATCATCAGAGACTTTTTTTTCATGCTTCAGACTTATTCATAACCTTCCTGGTTCTGCCACTACGGATTTCATGTGAATTTCCTTCTTATCTTACTCCACTTATAAAAGCAGCTCAAGCTTCTTGTAATTCACCTAATACCTGCCGCATCCCGTGAGATAAAAAAAAATTTTTACAACTGTTCTATTTCTATGCTATAGACTGTCCTGGAGCCATACTAATGCTCTCAGAAGCATAATTTACATTCTGTATTTTTCTTGCTTTGAATATCTTCAAGATTTAAGGGTGAGGTTTTGCCAATCATTCCCAAATAAGAGATTTCCTGGTGCGAAATAATAGAGTGGAAACTAAGAGAAATTTTCTGAGAAGTATATGAAGATGTATTTTTAAGAGGTTCAGAAATAAAAATGAGGCATTCTGTGATGGTTTCTGAAGCTTATCTGTAACCTTTTAGCCTATTTTCCTGTTGTATCTCTAGCCTCTCACCTGTCATCTCTCATTATCAATTCAAGTAATGTGACTTTGGGCATGTACATTATGGTGGTTAAAAAATTTGAAAGTTGATCAAAATGTTCACTTTACTCCATTTGATGGACTGTATGACTGATTTCACTCCCTTCTCAGATGCTGGTGACCCTTTGCTCTCCACTCATGAGACGTGCTCACCAATTTCTACCTCAAAGTCAAGAGCTTGTCTTCATTGACTCATCTGGCGGGGTTGACAGGAGTGGCTGTCGCATCTTCCTCATACTAACACACAGTCCTGCTGGAGGTGTTCCCCTAGGTGCTCTAATCACAACAAGTGAGAGTGAAAAGGTCATCTCAGAAGCACTTGTCCTGTGGAAGGGCATTCTTCCAAAAGAAGCATTTCATGGAAAAGGATATCCACAGGTTTTCATGACTGATGACAACTCTGCCGAGCAGAAGGCCTTGCAACTGACCTTTCCTCAGTCCATCGTAGTTTTGTGCACCTTTCATGTGCTGCAAGCACTGTATAGGTGGCTTTACACAGCAAAGAATGGTATTGACAAAAGCCACCGTAGCCACCTTCTTAACCTTGTGCGTAAAGCACTGAATGCTCATTCTCAGGAGGAGTTAAAAACTTATTGTCAAGCAACATTAATGGACCCCATTGCTATAACATATCCAGCTTTCTTACATCATGTTGGAGGGATGTTCCAGAGGTGTGAACTTTGGGCTCTTGCCTTCCGTGCTGACCTACCACTCAGGGGCTGTCATACAAACAACTATTGTGAGGCTGCAATGCGTGTGCTGAAGGATAAAGTGATGTTTCGTATGAAAGCATATAACCCTGTGCAGCTTTTTGACTTCCTCATCACCAGGTTGGAAAAGCATTACCAACAACGTTTGATTCATATTGCTAGTAACCGTTTAGAGCATGCATTGAAGATGCGCTACCTGTCTGGTTGTGAAAATGCTGAGGAATTGGAGGTTGGATGTGAGACAAGTGAAGGTGTTTTCTTAGTCACAAATTCTTTGAAAGGCACGACCTATGAAGTAAATGTGTTTGCTTCGTCTTGCACTTGCTATGCAGGCTTTTCAGGTGCCCCCTGCAAACATCAGTATGCAGTCCTGAAGGCCCACAACCTTGCCAGTATGAACTTCATACAAGTGCATTCTGAGCCAATAAGACAAGTTCTTTATGAAGTGGCAACTGGAGCCAGGGTACCCCAAGGGTGGCTTACTCCACTCCATGGAAGTGATCAAAGCATCCTGTCACTGTCGAGTGCTGAGTCCTGTGATTCTGCGCATAATGATGTGCAAGACTCACAAATTATGAGTGGATGTTCTGTCAGTTCTTTGGACTGTGATAGAATGTCAGAACTGTGTGACGAGGAGGAGAAACGCTTGGGCTGCATTTTGGATGAATGGAAAGGAATGTTGCAAAGAGATCCTGCAACATTTAAGCCAGCTATGCAAGCATTCATCAAGTCATATGAGAGGATCACCACAGATTCAGCTATGGTGTCTGCACTCCATTGCTTCGGAAAAAACTCTGTGGTAGTGCATGCTTTGAGAGTGTCAAGGAAGCAATCTGGTGTCATAGGGGTGCAACCAACAGCAGTTGCTCGTAGGAAAGTTCCATCTCTTGGTGGTCGAAAAGCCCACCCTGGTGGAAGACCAACAAAGATTGCCGCCTGTGCACCACCTCCCAAGAAACGAGCTGCACCACACAACTTGGCTCTTTGTGTTGCTTCCAGTAAGAGCCTAGGAAAAACGCACACAACTAAGTGAACTCGGCTAAGTGGATGTTTGAGAAGGAAAACCATTGGATGTTGAAATTTCCTTGAGTGCAGGTCCAAGAGATTTATTTAGATTAATAGATTTAGTTGCATGTGTTTTTCCTAGGCTCTTACTGGAAGCAATGCAAAGATTAGGTTTGCCTTAAAATTGCTACTTGGTGACTTTTGTTACACACTCTACATGAAAGATTTAGAGATAAAACATCCATATTTCACATTTATTTTCTTGGCTTCCAAAAATTCTTCGTGAAATTGATAAAAAATTAGATCATTTTCTTGCATAAATAGGAATTTTGCCAAAATGGAAGAAACTTGCAAAAAAAATTAAAAAGGAGAACTTATAAGAGTCAAACAACTGCACAAAACAAAATATGTAAAATAAAATTTCTAGGATGGCATGAGATTTAATATAAAAATATTAAGAAGTTGCTATGAATGGAGGCTAAAGTCACTAGCCAAAGGTACTCAGTTATTGTACTGACCCAATTATTTCCATTGCTCCCAATTTAGAATAAGCAAATGTTATATTTGCACCAGAAAAGTATGCATTGACCTGCAAAGATGTCTTGCCTGGATTTTTTTATGACAATATACACCCTGGCTGTACATGTTATGTTTTTTCATGACAATTTTTGTGGCTGCCCTTGATAACATTCGCCCAGGTGTTATGAAGACACCTGTAGTCAGCCTGTGAGGAGGAAATGTATTACTCTATGAATACTCACATTTGACATTAAATTCACTCACAGCAAAAAAAAACACCTAGCTGGGAAAAAAAATTATGCTGAATATAAATATAAAATGGAACCTTGAATTGTAAGGGTACAGGAAAATATACAACCAAAGGGTTGCATCAACATCTGTCATGAGGAAGCTGCAAATTATAACTATCTGGTGAGATTCAGTGCACTTAAGATGCACTTAAGAATCATTATAGGTCATCACCAAAGAATCATTATAGGTCATCATAATGATGACCTATCATGAAGCTGAGAGCATAAAAAATACAACTGAAACTGATGTGAACAAACAACCTTCCAAATAAGATTTGGGCAGGAATGGCGATAAGTAATAAAAACATGCCAAATTACAAATCTTTTGGGAATGCTCTTCCATGCCTTGCAGTCATTGGCATTGCCAGTGGGATGATGAACTTTGCAATCATGGGATGAGTACTTGGTTGTTTGGGAGACCAGTGATGACCTCAGTATTTGCCATAAATCGGAGACTACATATTTTTAGCTTCAAGTATAGACCTCAAGTTCTAATGATAGTGACAATATTTTACAGTAATTACATGCATTCTAAAACTTGGAGGGAAAAACGCTGTAACTTTTCCAAATTAAAAATTGAAACAATACCTACATATAAAAATCTTAAATAGAGAAGGTTCCAAGTTAAATGTAGGATGGTGATATTCAGGAGAAGATTTGGATACCCATTTCGATGCGTAGTAATGAAAAACCAATTATCAAAGGTAGGCTTTCCCTTTCCTAAGCCTCAACCTCGCCCTCCCCTTCTCTATGGAACTCACTAGCCTAGTCTCAACCGACAGACTGTCTTCGGGTCAGGCTTAGACCGCCCTTTTTTTAGTTCAAAAGAAACTTAATGCTGGACCTGCAAGCCAATCAAGCCAATAACGATGAATCCCTGGTCATGAAGACGCCTTGTTAAGGTGAAACGTTAGGCCAATCGCGGAGCTATTTCGCGGCCTATTTAATGTAGCACGTGTAACACTACACCGATTGTATGTTTATTCCGTGATTGATGAACGAACGAGTTCGGCGACTTGTAGATCTTTTCCGCGTTCATGAACGCGTTCAGCGCCGCGGTTTTTCTCAGAATGGCCTCTGGACGTGTGGGGTGCGAGAGCCGCAAGGGCGCGAGGCAGGGCGAGAGGGGGGAGAGATGATTGGTTCCCTGCCTGCCGGGCTATTTGCCAATCAGGGAAGCGCGGTTGGCCAACCTACCTACGAAAAAAAATCTCGCTGCCGGGACACATTCATTTATTATTCGCGATCTCCGCATGGGTTCCCATGGAATGTCCATTCAAAGCGGAGCGTTCCTGGAAGGAGTACTGCATCCGGGCTGTTATGCCTCCTTGGGTGTTTGTGGGGAAAATCACCGCTAAATTCGGGAATGTCGACAGAAAATAAGTCGACGCCTGAACATGATTTCTGCCCATATCCGCCCTGGAAAATCTCAGTCCAATCGTCAAGTTGGGTCCCAGGCCAGGGTTTGGATGTGTCTTTCCAGAGACTCACATTGACATCTCTCTTTGAATAATGTTGATATTGGTTTCATTTTCTTTATCAGATTTTCTAAATATTGTTGGAAAGTTATTGACGTTGCTCAGACGAATTCGGAGAGCGGAATGCAGTTTGAGTAACTTTCGTCTCCTTGAACCTGACTTATCTCATTCCAAAATCTGCAATTTCTGATTCATCGAGAAAGACACGAAAGAATGGCCTGGACATTGCCAATAATTTTATTTCCCTGCGTTCAAACGTTGAAGGTAATTCTTGGGAGGTATTTGAAAATAAGCGGGAATACACACTTCATTTTTAGTTATTTTGAACTTCATAGCCAAGTATCTTGAGAATGAGGATGTAGCTTTCTCTACGTAGATCTTGCGAGACGACCGTGAAAATGGCTCTGCCGAATCATGCGCGAATTTGTTGATTAACCTCAGACCAAGAACGATTCGACTGAGGCCATGTCGAAATCATGCAGCGATCGGCCGCATTCCTCCCGCATGCCTTCTTTCTCACCAGCAACCACGAGATACTTTCCTAAATACGGTATGGTAGTCCCACCCACGATTCAGATGACATATATTATGAATCGCCTTTCTAGGTAAACCGGTTACCGAGCCGTGCGATTCATTTCTGCTATTGTGCCTAATATGGTCAACGGACGACAAGGTCGACGAAACCCTGGTGCGTTTTCATCTAAGCCTAGGCTACCTCTTCCCCTTCCCCTCTCTCACATGCCAAGACGTGCATGGCACTAGCATTCACGTTCCCCCTCATCCGGTCTGAACGTGCGTCTGAAAAATGAATTTTTCTTCCCTCTTCCCTTCATACCTTACCCTTCTCAACTCTCCTAACTCTCCCCCTTTTGGTCCCCGGCCCCGTTCCCAGGAGAAACCTACTAAATTCACTTCAGATTCTTCACAGTAAGAGGCTTCAACGCAGCCACACTCGATCGGTCTTGTTATAGCATGAAAGATGAATATTTGAGCTTTCAGAAAATATGTAATTTCACTGGATTTTCTGAAGTTCATATTTTTGGTTTTGTCATAGTTTTGGTTAACAGTTCCGTGAATTAATCCTCCTTTCTATTTCCAGCAATCATCCCTTTCCGTTTCTAGCCAGTGGCTGATCCAGGGAGGGAGAGAGGAGTGCAAATAATTTTTTCCCGAATTTAAATAGCATCTAAAATGTTATTGATGCCCGTGAAATATGTATCTATGTTTTTACCCCAGACAAAAGATAAAAAAATACGATAGGATGGAGAGGGAGAGTGGTGGTGGTGGGGCGTAGGAACTTGGGAACCGTCACCCTAGTAGGACTTTCTGCATCCGCCACTGTTTCTAACCATGTTGGAAATACATTTGAAAAATTTAATCACAACTGGAGTAGAATTCACTTTCCTCCAAGTATGCTTCTCAATTATGGGTTGGATTTCTTGATTGGAATTTCTAATGCAAAACGCAATTAGCAATCTCTTGACATTTTGATAATTGCTTTACATGGGCCATGTGTTTGCATCCATTTCAATATTTCAGGAATATAATAATGTACAGAGCAAACTAAGTTGTTGCGGATTTGTATGCATTCATTTTGGATATACAGTATATCAGGTTGTAAAGGTGAAATTTAGATATTTCGATTTTTTCTAGAAAAATCTAGTAAATGTTAGAACTTTCTATGTAGGTGTATAAATAGAGTGCCCAGTGGGCATTGTGGGCGTGAGTGCTTGTCGTGAACCTACAACAGATACATTGACGCAAGACTGCACTCTCGTCGTTGTTGAGTTAATTGTCAATAAATTGTTTTCTGAAAAATGTCTAAATTTCACCTTTACAACCTGATACATATCCTCTGCAGGAAAGTGTCTTAAGAATCGGCAGAGGTGGGGCATTTATCCTCTTTCTGAGGATCTAAATGAAATGTTAAATGTTAAGTGTTAAATGTTAAATGTTAAATGGTAAATATTAAGATGTTAAATATGTATCCAAAATGAGTTACAGGCGAAACCGATTCGATCGCGAGGGTTTCTTGACGAAACCTTTGGGATGCATATGCAACTTCTGATTATTTTTTCGAAGTGACGGATTTATAACGGGTAAAAATCCTTCACCAAAGATTTTACGCTGCATAAATCCTTTTCTCCGGCATAAATCCATTTTTCATGCATAAATCCTTAGGAGGATGAAACACAAACGCTTTCTTTTGAAAGGGAATAATCATTTTCTTGTGATGTTTCCGGTAAAAAAAAAAAGATATTTTTGAGGATATCTATGGATAATATATTATCCATAGTGCCCCAATCTCACCTATATCTATTCCATGAGCGTAACGCAATTAGCGCATATAAATGTCGTAGATGCCCCTGAGAAGGATAACCTTGAGCTGCCAAGTCCAAACATGCTTCAGTAATTCATATTAATGCAGTATTCGTAGTACTAGGAGCCCAGGACATTAGAACAAAAGGTCCTCCCCTATCGAGTCGTGCTTATTGACCGATTGTAATCGGTTCCATCGTGTTTGCCATATTTCAGTCTAAATGCCCCTGATGAGTGACTCGGCATAGAGCAGAGTTCCTTTGAACTTGAGATTCCCTCCCAATTTTTTAAAATGCTTATACGGTCTAAGGACGAACCCTGATACAACATGCTTTATTGTCGGCATCTTTTCTAGCATTAGATCATTTTCTTTCAACATGATCGGACATGAAACGATATCAGTACGATTAATACTATAATGACGTCACATATAAATACATTGATGAATTTGCATATGAAGCCGTGTGTAACGGATATGCACAGAAAGGGCATGTCTCTTGGCATGGCTAAGAAATTCGGCTGTCGCGTTTACTTTTCAGTCACACTTTAATCAGAAAACCCATTTAAAGAAAAAAATGTGAATAAAATAGTGGATAGAGCAATAGAGGGCAAGGGACGTTCGACAAGGGACATTCCATGGACTCCATCGCAGAAGAGGAATATGAGAACCGGTTTTCGGGATCATTATCTTGGTCTGCCATCTTCATGAGAAACGATGAGACGACGATCGAGGGGGAACTCGCCAGGGGGCGGCAACATCGCCGCAAGTGTGCCGAGAACTTGTGCATCGGCGATTCCCTGGTATCCCGGTGCTAAATTGAACGTCCCGAGGTTTGAAGTGACCAAGGTGGCGGCGGGTTTAGATGTGGGGGGCGGGGGAAAGTTCCGTCACGTGACCGGGTACCGGCGGGCTAGTGATGGAAGATCCCGATCCAAATTTCTTCGCAAAGGAGGGAGGCATTCGCGGAAGGTCGACAGCATCGATTGGATGGAGGATTCCTTTGTAGTGACGCTTTTGCCGAGGAGGAATAGAATCGTCTCTTTTGGCTTCTCCGGCAATCGGAGAAGCCAAAATCATCTCCCAAGAATGGCTCAATCGTTTAATCCATTGTTTAATTAATTGTGCCTTCTCAACGCCTTGGTACCTCGAATTAGGGGAACATTTCAGTGACGGATACAAAAGTTTTTCATGAGCTTTCCCTGTTCATCATTCCCTTTACCCCCTACCACCCTCCTTCCCATCGCATTTTTCCTATCGTTCGCAGTAAAATCTGGATTCATTTCACAGGCTAGAAACGAAATGCATTAAATTAATTTTTTCAATTTAGAAATAGGTAGCGGGTATTCGAGAAGCCGTATCTGCCTCTGAGGTGAACTACTCTGTTTTTGAGAAATGGCGTCACTTCTATTGCAAGCACATGGTCTGAGGGGAAGGGAGAAGAAAAGCATGTCTCTTTTTTTTCCAACTCTAATTGCCTTTAATTGACAGGAAAGCCTCAAGGCCAATTACCCTCTCTTTCTCCCCCTCCTTCCCAACCTCTTTCCTCATATTCGTTCGCCTGGCAGTCTTCTCTCGATCCGGTCGAGATTGTTTCGGAAGCTGTCCAGCAATTAGCGTTCTAATGAATCCTTGTGGCTCGTCTGATTTGTACTAAATAATATTTTATTTGTAGACTGATGTGTATGAAAAAACAACCTGCGAGTGTCTCGTCCGGTCCTTCTTCTGTCCCGTCCGTTACTCTCGAAAATGTGTATATCAGGAGATGATTCTATTACTCAGTTGGATCCGAGTTCACGTTTTGGTGAAACATTGCAAAAGCGGAATTTCCCCTGATGGAGACTTCCCCTGAAACCCGGGAAGCACAATGTGGCTCCTCCGCTGCC